CTCCAGAGGTCCTTTCCCACCTCAACCATTCTGTGCTCTGTGATTTCAGCAGGGGTTAAGCACAGTAATTATTGTCAATTCTTGTTATGCTCTAACATTCTGTGATGCCTATTACAAAATACTATAGAGTGATCTTGAAAATTTGATTTTTCTAAGACATATGAATTATTCAGGTAAGAATTTAGGCATACCACTCTATCAGCCTTTACTTTCATGGAAAAAAGCTCTAAAGTAAATTAAGATCATATTCTAAATCTCCAGATTATCGCATTGAAAAAAGTTTATGTTTTCTGAATGTACTGAAAACATGATCCAACAAATTCATCAGGGATACGTTTTTTCCCTGCTTGTGATTTTTATTTCCATTGCAAGTCAAGCCTTTTGAGTGCTCTAAAAATTGTAATCTGACATCATAATTTCAAATTTTTATAAAGCCATTCCTTATAAAAACCTTCCATATGTTCCCTCATAAAAGATTATGAAGTAATGTGCTATTCCTGATGGTCTAGGAAGGATAAATCAATAAAGTCATGTGAGAGAAAAGTCAACTAGTTTTCAGTAGTTTCCATAATGGATATATTTCAAATTATTTTGGGGAAAAATGCTCTAACCCTTCTTCTGACTTAGCAAGGAAACACCAGTAACAATAAAAATCAGGTTTTATTTTAGAATGGGAAGTGCTCATAACAGAAGTCAGTTTTCTCTCAGACATTAAGTGATATAATTGGAAAAATCTCTATGCAGAATCAAGAAAACTTTCTGCATTCTGTCCTCCAGTATTTCTTTACTAAATGTTCAGCCCACCCTGCATGAAAATGCAGTTTGGAGTGAAAGCAGCCAGTTTTCAGTGGCTTCCTGCCACACTGAATGCAAAAGCTCCTTGCAGCCCTCACTTGCCCAAAGCCTTCATCTGCAGAGTTCCTGAGAGCTTTCTCTTAGCTGGGTTTTAACAATCCCTGCATGGAAAGCATCAAAAGAACTGAAAATGCAGAAACAAACAGCAGTGGGGGTTTTTACATTAAATAACCCATGCATTTTTCCTTTTTTTTTTTTTCCAAACCAAATCTGTGGGAAAGGAACAACAGACTAAAGTCTTCTTTTGATGCTGCCAATAAAGAGATGGTACTTGTGAAAACAAATAGAAGGCACTTGTGACCTCTCTAGAACTTCTCAATCCACTTTGTTAAATTAAGCAGCCAAAGAGCTGCTTTTGAATTTGTAGCTGTTGGATGCTCAGAAGTACACAGCACATGAAATGGTCAATTCCACCTTGTGTTGAAAGTATTGAAGTGTAATAGATCAGGAAAACCAGCAGTGACAAAGAACAGGGCACAGTTTTGTTGCTGGTGCAAGGCCATGGGATGTGGGCTGAGATCCGTGGCTGTTCCTCCTGGCTGGCCATGCTGTGACCATGCAGTGCCAATAAATGAGTGTGAATTAATGTCTGTGCTCTGGAGCTGAACTAAGCATATGGATTTCCTTTGCCCAGCCACCTTCTCCTGCCCTTCTGCTCAGTGGGATAATATCCTACTAACCCCATGCCAGTTTAGGATGCTGTACCAGTGACTTCCCTATCAAATTCCACCATTTGTGGGAAGATATTCCCCCAGGAACAGCAGTGAAGGTGGAAGGCAGGCTAATTGCTTCAGCACTCCCCCACTGCCTCTGAGCCCAGGCACTTAGCTGTAATTATTGTGAAACAGAAGATTTTACACTGAGTTATAAATTGGTATCACAGGGCTCAGAAAGTGGTGGATGACTTTCATGAACTGTCAGCTATTCTGAGTATTGCCATGTATTTCTACAGTTTCAACACATTTTTCCAACTGATATTGTAACTTATGTGGTTTCCCACGTTAGGGTGACACAATGTTCATCGTGTGTAACTGGGGAGCAGGGAGAGGTTGGGGTTTTCTCCTCAATAAATCCATGACTGTAAGCTGCTAAATAACAACTGCAGTTGAGGGCACTGAGGAATCATGGCTTAGTATTCTTGTCTCCTTTTTCCAGTTTAGAATCTTGTACTGAAAGATCTTTCCATTAGTGTGAGTGCACCCACTGCAAAAATGAGTGTTAATTTTTGCAGGAAGCAGGAGAGGTGGGAAGCATGAGTCTCTGTATGATGTGGACTGACACAATGGCATAATTTCTCAATAAATCTGGTTAACAAGCTGACTCCAGGGGTCCCTTCCAACCTTACACATTCTGTGAGTCTGTGTAATTCATTCAAATATTTCATGAGTGTTATGCAAAAAAGTAAATATTTTAGTAACTTCTAAACTACTATAAATGCCCAAAGCTCCTAGCAAAGCTCTGTCCATCTGGTGGTGATTGACGTGGCTTAACAAGAATTAATTTGCTGTATCTGCAATGATTGTCACCTTCCCAATATAAAATCTCATAATCAAGTCTCAAACCCTTTTCATTGTGTACATGATGAAAAAACCATACCTGGGGCTGGAAAAAAGTTCATCCTGGGCCTGTATTTTAATTTTGGGCCATGGATGTTTAAAGATGAATGAACTTTTAATCTCTCATTTGTCTGCATTTTTTTGTTGATAGATACTGGTCAGGGCTGAATGTTACCAACATTGACCTTTTCAGAAGGTGTTTGTGGTCTTCTAGACAAGACTAAATGAGGTCTTGGTCTTGTATCTCTGAGTTCTGCTTAGTCTGAGACATTTCTGAGGTGACAGGAGACTGGATGGGATTCAGTTGCCTGAAATGACACTCAGTGCCTACTCTGAAATATCCAACTGCTGCTTTGCCTCTTACTGCCACTTAGAGAGTGTAAATATCCTGCTGATCGTGTCGTGTCTGCCACTCAGCTGGGAATGCCTCTGATTTTTTAGAGCATCTCAAATGACACAAACCATTTATGCCTAAGCAACTGAATCCAAGCTTCTGAGTGTGAGAGAAAAGTGTTATTTATATGTATTCTTTTAGTTATTTGCTTCTTATCAAACCTCAATAATTTTGGTTCTCTTCTTAGTATTCATAGATTTACTTGCTCTAAAATTCACTGCTCATCTTGGTTTTTTATTTCTGAATATGTACAATAAGTGAAATAAAGTTGGGGTTGTCTTTATTAATTTCTATAACAAAGTACCTTACTGTAACACTGTTAGGAAATGAGTTATTTGCCATTTAACAGCATTTAAATAGAGGAAAATGTCAATGGTGAAGCTGAAGCTGTTTGGCTTCTCTGAAGGTCTGTACATATGGTGTGTGACTCAGTGGCTGTACTTTATGGTTGCTATAATTCATATTTTGAAACAGAGGAGCAATGTTCTGTTTGGGAAGTCTTCATATGTTCATTATTTAGCCTTTATGTTTCAAGATGCTGTTTAGTACTAGACATATTGGAGTTAATGGAACAATTTCCATTTTAAATTTGAATTTCTGTGTACTGCATTCTGTAGTGTCTGTCCAGGATCACTTCTGCAAAGTGAAAGCCATGGAACTTGGAAACAAGTTCCAATTTTATAAGAATGCTAAAGACTTCTCTTGAGTGCCCAGAGACAAAACTTACCTTTAGCCATCAGATATAAAAGTACTGCATCTAGATCACCAATTAAATTAGTTATTTTTCCACAGACGGCAGCATGTCTAATTAACAAATTTAAAGGACATATGGATTGAGGGGAAACATTAGAACTCTTGCTTGAAAATAAAAGTATAAAACTCAAAGCTCTCTTAGGCTACTTTAAATTCATCAAGTGCACGTGTGTTTTGAGGGTAAATTTTCCTCAGTGTATTTTTATTAGTGGGGAAAAAAAAAATCCCAACAGTTGAGGGCTATTTATTTTCCTTGTTGTGTATAAAGATCAAGATGCTTTCTGTCTCTTAAAGGAACAAATGTGAAGTACCTGCAAGGTGAGGAAAACAAACTTGCCATTGCCTAACTTTTTGGATGGATGCTTACTAGATGCACTTGCAAAAATACCCAAATTATTCTGATCATCAGTTTAGATTTATTACCAGGTGGGAGAATCTTGACCCTGTGCTTTCAAGTGAGATGTGCAGAGCTGTCATTTCAGATCCATCTTTGATGCTGGCACTCACTGAGCACTAACATGAGGAAGTTGAAATGATGTCTGCAGATCTCTGTACAAATGCTGAAAGCTGAAACAGCGGATCAAATGCTAAGGCATCTTCATTTCTCACCACTGCTGTAGATATGTCACACATACTTATTTTAAAAGAGGTGGATGAGACAATCATTGTTTCCAGGAATAAAACTGTACCTGTAGGCAATGAGAATATAGGGTTTATTATATTGAAAGCATAAAATGTGTTGAGTTTCTGGTGAGAGCAAAGCAGAAAAGGGGCCATGTCCATACTGGCTAAAATTAAAAAGTTACAATTACATAAAAAGTATATTAAAAAGCTAAAAATCTTTAGACATCATCCATACTCCTGTTTTTTGCCTGTATCAGTATATTGACAGGCGTTGGGAGGTTTGACAAGAAGCTCTGACTGATGGTGACTGATGATGACTGATTCTTGACACTGAATTCAGTATTTTACCTGCAAATTCTGGTTCTCCTTTGCCCCTTGCCTGACATGACTTTTGTCAGGTGGCTTTAAAATACTGGTGTAAAACAGCTTTGCTGGTATAGCCTCACCTCTACTGGTCTGTCTTTGATTTGAACACAAAATTGTAACATGTCTCTATGGTGGAGTCATTTGGAATTCATTATGAGTATCCCACAGGTGCAATTTGCTGTTGAAACACCAGATTTTTCTATTGCTCCTAGAAGTTCTGGAATTCTCCATTTGCAAGCTGTGCAAAAAACCTTTTTCTGGTTAAAGCTGTGTATTGTATGACTTGGTTAAAAAGCAAACAAAGGCTTTTAACTGCTTTTCATGAGATCTGTTCCTGTGAAACCACTGTTAACTCCACAGAGATTTGGTTATTCTTTCTTTAAACAGTCAACTTCTTTTGTTAGACAGAGAACAAGTCATTTGATTAATGATCATTTTTATTTCTTTGAAAGGATCCTTTCCGACCATTGGTGTGAAGTCTCTTTCGAGATTCCTGAGGGCGGGATTTTTAAATAGCATCCTGGCCTCACATCCAGTGGCAGGGGGTGGATCTTTACCCCCCAGCATTTCCTCTGGTAGGTATTCCAGCCTGTTCCCACACATCAGTTTTTCTCCTTCACTCTCTGCCCCATCTCTCCACACATCTCAGGGAAATAAAATTTGGAATGGGTCAGGCAGGGAGATCAGATGTCCTTTCCAATAAAGAGACAAGCCAAAAGGAAATGGCAAAGGCAATAACTTCTTGGGAATGAGCCATTTTCCTCAATTAATGTATAGGAGAAATTGTGAGGGTAAGTGGTCTGCAGTTAAGTGGCCAACCTAAATATTGGAAGAGAAAGCCTGGTATCCTCTAGTCATCCATTTCATGAAGCGTTTCTGTGCTCCAAAGAACTTTACACATGCCACTGTCAAATCTCAGAATTTGTGGGATTCTGTGACTCTTCCCTGAAAATTTATATAGCATTGCTAAAACGTGGATACAAAACAAATTTGGAAAGGGAAAACTTAATTATGTACTAATTTTGTGTTTGTGGGTTTTGGTAGCTGCAAGTTATATCTCATGAAAACCACCTTTTTTTTTTTTTTTTTAATAACTTTTACCATGATTTGAACTCCTGTAATCCTGTTTAAATGAGTGAGGACAGGTTAGAGGCATCCTTTCCAAGACAGGTTACTTGTGTAGTTCATTCTCTTCTGGAGCCATTAAACACCATCTTCCATCAAAAGTAATAAATGAAAAGTAAATATATATAACTACAGTTAAAACTGAATCAATGTTCCTTTCCAAACTACATATTTCTGTGTAAAAATGGATCTGTGCATGGGTTAATGTCAGTCTGGTATCTTTTCTGGACATCCTGCATTATCTGTAGTGTTACTTAAAAGTTTTTCTTGAATTAAAAAAAAAAAATCTTTTCTGGTAAAAAGAGGGAGAAAATTGGAAAATTACATAATGTTATTGACTTGCTATACAAAGGAAACTATTGTACTTCTTTGTGCCCCATTTTATCTACTGCAGTAATTCTAATTACATGATGATTCTTACTTTTTATTTCAAGTGCTATTTTTCTTTCTTTGCTTTCTTTGAATAGAAGCATCTCAGCAGCTTTGATGTCTTTTCTTATGACTGTTTGGGTTTCTTTTGTCAACAGTTTGTGAAATGCTTTCCATATTTTTTTCTCCATGGGATATCCAGAGTGTTTAATACCCTTTAGGTGTTGTGGGAGTCAGCATCACAATGAAGTGGTACCTGTAACTAAACAACTATTGAAGAGGAAATAAAATTTCCCATAAAAATTCTCTGTTTTCAACACAGTGTTATGTAGAGCATCCCACTGATTCTGTTAAATTACAAATGGCCTCAAATTCATGAACAGCCTTCTCAACTACCTTGCTCCACTTACAAGTCAATTTTATAAAATCCTCAGGACTGTTGTTTTTTGAGTGCTTGTAAACCTTTTGATCTTATGGACTTAAAACTCTTAAACGTAGTTTATTTAATGAAACTCATTCATATTGCCTTGCTATTAAATATATTTTACCAATAATTGATACAATCTGATGAAACATTGAAAATGGGAAAAAAAATGGGAATGCAGCTGCATGATGTGTAACAGTTAATGGAGATAAATGTTGCTTGATCATGTCAAAAGCAAAAAAAAATAAGTGAGCAAAGCAGCAACCCCAGAGAAAGGGAAGATTTTCAGTAGTTGAAAGTCAGTGAAGAACTGTGATATGGATGAGATATGTTCCTTTGAGGAGGAATGCATGGGGGGGTCAGGTGGCATGAAGCTCTGCAGTGCAAGTCAGAAATTGCTGCCAACAGTTGAATTTCAACAATCTTACCTGTAGTGCTTCTATTTAACTCTTCCTTTTTCACTTTATCATATTTACATTATATTAAGCATGGTGCACATTCTGAACTGCCTCTTTTTGTATCAGAGATGACATGGGGATGCCCTTTCCAATACTCAATTGCTAAAAGCAGCTTTGCTTTACGTGTGAACAAGAAAAAAATCCCACAAGTTTTTGAAAACAAACAAAAAACAACAAAAAAAGCCACGAAAACAAATCTTGGCAAGGTAGTGCTGATCTGGAATGTAAGAAACTCAGAACTGACTCTCTTGCTGTGCAGGATTCAGTGGAGATGTTTGGGCTTGTGTAAGACAGTAGCTCTCATAAGCCTAACTGAGGTACTTAACATTTAATAACTGCAGAATTATAACCTAAGTGTTTCACATACTGGTTATGGGTAAGATTTCAGTTAATTTAACTACATGGAAGACTTAAAATGCCAGCATTATTCTGCTATTAGGGTCACTGGTAACAAAGATAATGAGATGCTTTTTATTTACCAAAACCTTTAACTCAAGCTAAGTGGCAGATTCCCTTCCAAATACTCAGAAAATGTATTCCTTACTAAAGACAAAATGCTTTTAGATCTTTTTTCTACAAAATTCACCACAGATGTTTTAATGAAATACAGAACTAAACTAGAAAGCCTGCTATAAATAAGTGTCTGGAAAGCAGCTTGGCAGGGCCATGCAGCTGTTGGTTTCCTTTTTTCCCTTCCTACTTTAATCTCAGTAGTTGAGAGGAGTGTATTTCTTCTACTATTGCATTGACAGCTGATGTTCAGTTTTGTGTAATTCAGTTTTTACACTGTGCAGAGATTCTCTTATGTAAAAGGTATCCTCATTTAGCCAGCTTAAAGATTAATTTATGCTGTTGGGATGAGGAATTACATCTTTCTGCATAAATAGATTGTCTCAAATGGTTTTTTTTAAGTCTAGACATTACTTCTAATGCAATAGTGCTTATATTTGATAGTTACATCAAAAGCCTGTCACTGCTGTACAGGAGTTTCACCAGAAGCAAAACTTCAAGCAGGCATGCAAAATTTATCCTAGATTCTTGCAAAAACAAACCCATTTGCAGACAGTTGCTTCCCTTTTATTTAGCTATCATTTATATCACAAATTACTTAAGTCCTCGTTATTCCACCTGTTAGCAGAAGGTCTGCAATGACAGATGGATTCACATGAGCAATAAGTACTTTTTCTCAAGTGATAGCCTTGCATGTATTAAATAGAATTCTTAAACCACTTAGCATTTACACTCCTCATCATACTGATGCTGGCTTAAGCTGTGGAAGCTTCCTTCATGAGACATGAAAACCCAAATTATAAATGGCCAGAGCTGCATCTCTCTTCACATTCCAGCTCTTCCAAACTAAGCACCCTGCTCTTTGCTGCACCTGGGGGAAGCTCTCAGCTCGCTCCTCTTGCAGCTCCTGCTGGAAGTGACATGTCAAGGGTTTGTTGTGTAAATGCCCTCCTGGCAGAAGTTACAGGCAGGAAGCTTCAGGGTGCACCACTGCCTTTGAAAAGCCAGAGATTTCTCAGCTTGATGAGCTGGAAAGGAAAAGAGGGAGAGCAAATACCTCTCCTATTGTTCCTCTCAAGCTGAACTCCTTCACTGAGTTTTTCTGTCAACAAGAACTAGAGATGGGTGCCAGGCTATGAGCACCCATGGAAAGGTTCTGTTAGTCAAACCTCTCTTTCAGACTGTTCAGCTGCATTAGCAGGAGAGGTGGGAGAGCAATCAAAATTATTCTTGCCATAAACTCCTCTCTGTGAATATCATCTCCCCATGTGGTCAGCAGCTGGACCATTGCCCCTGCTCCACTCACAGAGCCCCTTACTGAAGCTTCTGTGAAAGTATCCTGATGTTACTTTTTCAATGGAGTATGACCATCACTTATTTCCTGACACTTTATTTGTGAGCCTGAACTATCCAGCTCCTTGACATTGTAGGGAAAACAGAAGCAAAGACATTTGGCTTGATGCAGCAACCCACATTCATGAACCTCAAAAAATATATTGCATGCAAGAAATTGAATATGCACTTACTTTCCAGAAATTGGAAGTTATTTATATATATATTTATGTATAATTTATTATTATCCTATATATTTATGATTATATAGGATATATAGGATGGTTTGCTGTCCCAGACTCCTCTTCAACAAAAATCACATTCTACAGAGTCTATCCCCTCTTCAGTGTTTTACTGCTTAGTTATTTAGGGCTCTTTGTCTGACACACATTACAATGTTCACATTTATTCCACAGAGCTCCTCAAAAAACTCAGGCATAATTGTAGAGTACTAAACTAGATGATTATCAGTTTTCTTTTGCCCAAAATTAATATTTTATTACAATTTCCAAGTGCACCTGAGCGAGCCCATTATTCTTGATATTGTATAAACTGACACTTGAAAGCAAATTGTATTGACAGACCCTTATTGAACAAAATTACTCAACAAGAACCATCAAGGAGCAATTGTACATTGTGAATTCAACTATGATTATAGTACTCCAATAATGAGAAAAGTAACTTCTCTTTTTCCCCCCCAGTCAATGTATTTTTCTTCACTCTGAATTCCAGCTCCTACACTTCTATATTTGCTGTTAAATGAAAATTGCTAATTCTTTCCCAGTGACTAACAGATTGATTCTTCTGTTTCATATGAATGTCCTGGGATTCCTGAGCCAAATGGCTCTTCCAGTTTATTCTTTCCAGCCTCAGTGCTGGAATGTTTAGTTTATAAACCCTACAACTAATACATAATGGCATGTGTTTTCTGAGAAGTTCAAATGTAGATGGACGTTCCCATTAGGCAGGCAGGGAGTACTTCAGAACCAAAGTAAGGATGAGCAGCAAGTAGCATTTATACTGAAAGAAACATATTTTATGCTGGTAAATTAGGGTTAGGATTGAACTGTAAAACTGGGATTAAGCTCTGAGCGTAGGATGTGGTAAAAGGAGGTTTTCATTCTTCATCCTTGCTAAATGTCTCATTTCATGCTCAGTTGGTCTTGGTAAACAATTCCAAACATTTAAATCCTAGAAGCCCAGGAAAATGTATTCACATATGTAATCATTTTTACATAATATATGCTCCTATTGCATATTTTTAAAATCTGACTACAGAAAATGTGGAATTTATTGTTAGAAGAATGTTAGTTGAAGCAAATTGCTGTTCTTTACTAACAGAAGCAGAAAGATCTGA